ACGAAGCCAAGAGCAGACTTATGAATAGCTGAAACCTCCACTGTTGCACATTACAGTCATACCAGTTATTCATCTGAATCACATTAGGAGGGCAGCTGCCATTATCTAAAAAGCATATCTTTCAGAAATGGAATCAAATGCTGATTCATTGCGACTTTATTTAAATGTCATCAGTTCTAATGGAGTGGACCTTGCTGTACAGTAGCGGCAAATAGCAAACTAATGTTTACAAAGCCCTTCTAATTTCACGCGGAAACGCATGGCTCAAAAACATGCAGTTTGTTCTTGATTATAGAAGTGCAAACTGAACAGCTCTATTATTTTGCGTTTAGTAAACAAACATACAACTGAACGACTTCAGTCTGAAGGGAGACGTGAATATCACAATGCTGTAACATATGAACTGCACTTCAACAGGAGTGGATTTTTAAGTGCTAGCAAAAAAGATCCACAGTCATTTTGTACCAAACACTCGGTATGCTGTACCTCTTATAGGGACAAAAGATGAGAAGGTCAGCATCATTCACATCGAGAGAGAGAGAGAGAGAGAGAGAGAGAGAGAGAGAGAGTGTCATCACTCAGTGTTTGGTTTTTTCATCGCGGTAGAGCTCCTCTATAAATCTTGGAAATTATGTTTTGAAAAGAGTAGTAAATACAGTGAACGTATACCAAAGAAAATACCTGTTCTGACACTGATTCCTCTGTCGACTTAAGGTAATGTCAAAAATCTTCGTTCGCGCGAAAGACCACAAGCAAGGCACCTAGCACATTTGATAGGCTGAATACGTTTTTGCATAATACATACTAGCGTAATGTATGTTTCTACACATTATTATATTCTCTATGTATGTGTAGCCTATATGAGAGCAGCGTGCCGCGACACCACGGTAAATACGACACAACGCTGCGCTCATATAATAATTCAATCAATCGCTTAATGATTGCATGACAAGAAAAATGGTTAAATGCACATCGCTGGAGAGAGCAGCGTGCCGCGACACCACGGTAAATACGACACAACGATGCGCTCATATAATAATTCAATCAATCGCTTAATGATTGCATGACAAGAAAAATGGTTAAATGCACATCGCTGGATTTAAATTAGAAATCTATTTTAAATATAATTCATGGTTTCTTTATTATTTGGACCACAGGAAATGTCAAACTCGTCTTTGTTTACATATTACGAGTGCTGAACTACTCAAGAGAAATTGGAAACGGATCAATCCATCTTATTTGTCATTAAGATATCACTTATTAGGGGTTGTTTGACGTAATGCGTAATTGTAAGAGCTTTTACCTACATTAATCAAATGTTCAGTCTTAATTCCTTCCAATGCGTTAACATCAAATTATTATTTTAAATCACACTTAAGTATTGCATTATAGGCTGACTGTTATTTCTCTTCCACAGAATCAGTCCCAGATCTTCCTGTTCAACTGACACCTGACAAGTGGAAGACTTGATTTTTACATCAAAATAATGCTGATATGGGTTGTTCATACTAAATTACATAACATAAATAATAAATGACATCACTCAGTGAACACCATATAACAAACAACTACCTTTCATTTGCTGTTCGGGAGGTGTTGTAATGGACCTAGAATCCAAGGCTGTGTAGGTGTGGATTTGTTTTTGACATCATGGGTTGTGGAGGATCCAGGACAGATGTGTTGGAGCCGAGATATATGGAGAGCTGGACTAAAGAGACAGAGTCCACCTGGCTGACCAGCACGGACACAGACATACCCCTGTCCTCCATCCAGAGCATCCCCTCGGAAAACTCTTCAGAGGTGGGCTTCCCATCAGAGAAGACTGCCAACCTCGGTGAGAACTGACTGAGATCATAATTATTTCAAGGCTTTATTCTCATTGTTAAAAGCTTTTGAATTTAATGTCTTCATATTTAATTAGCTGAACATATCATTTCACCGTAGTCACTCAAATTTAACCTGTCAAACTCTTCAAATGATATTTCCTTCCCAGAAGGACAGCGAAAGTGTTGCGAGTCTGCTGTTGGTGAGCAATTCATTCAAGTAGGCCTCTTGTTGCCCATGGTGATGGCTAAATCCCTTTAGTACTTCAGTACAACAATATGAGCAAGGATGAACACAATAAGCACTGCTTACCACTTTTGGGCAGAATTGTGACACTTAGGGCAGCTACAGTGGGTAAATGATCATATCAAAATAAACTGGTAGCAGATTATTAAAACAGATAGACAAGATGGACTTGACTATGACTACTAGAGTAGTGCATATACATTACTGGTCAAAAGTTTGAAATAATTATTTTTATGATGTAAATATTTTTTTCTTATATGCTTGCCAAGGCTGCATTTATTTAATGAAAACATACAGTAAAATAGTAACAATGTAAAATATTATTTCAATTTAAAATAACTGCTTTTTATTTTAATATATTTTAAAATGTAATTTATTCATGTGATATTAAAGCTGAATTTTCAGCATCATTACTCCAGTCTTTAGTGTCACGTGATACTCAAGAAATCATTCTAATATGCTGATGTGCTCTCAAGAAACTTCAGTTTTGCCATCACTGAAAAAAACGCAATTTTTTAAAAATATATTATTGTATTAGCAAATATATTATAAATATATAAATATAGTATGCAATAGTAAATATAGGATTGTATTTCACAGTATTACAGTTTTATTTTATTTTTTAACAAATTGGCCTTGGTGAGCATGAGAGATCTTTCAAAACTTTTGACTAATAGTGTATAACTTATAAATCATGCATATATTAATGTATGTATATTTTCATTATTTAATATATAATTTTTAAATATTTTAAATTTAAGTTCATATACAGTATAATAATTAAAGGAATACTATCTACTGATAGATAGATAGATAGATAGATAGATAGATAGATATGAATTTGATTATTCATTTAAATTTATTTTGTACCTACACGCATACCTGAAATATTTCTGATATGGTCACCAATGCAGTGATTTTGTTAAAGAGAATGAGTAACTTCCATATTTTTGTCTGGCCACAGATCTCTTTGACGATGGTCTGCCTTCTCCAGCTCAGGCATATCTGAAAGTGTGTTCTGCCATGTCTGAGGTGGGTCTGAATGACATGAAAACTGGCAGCACCCCTGCAATCCTCTCTTCTCAAGAACAGGAAGTGCTGTCTTCTTCTGGTACCACAGTGCAGAGGAGAAGCATGTTACGAACTGAGGAAATAGTAAAGTATTTTAATTGAACATAATGGTTTTTATTTGGCTTAGTCTTATGCACGCAGCATGTGTAAACTACATCAGTGTTTCTGACCTTTGTCTTATGTATTGCTTCATCTACACCACACCAGAAATGTGTTTCTTTTGACTTATTTTACAAAATATCATTTAGCATTATTGTTCATTTTATTAAAGTGGGCTGTAATACATTTATGCACTTTTAAACCATACAGGTATATTGATGTTGGACATGAAAAACAGACCAGTCTTATTTTTTTGTTGTCTGTTTTTGTCATTGTAATTTGTATTGTTTTTATTTCAGCTTTAGTTTGTTATTTTAGTCCAAATTAAAACTAAATTAAAATGTGAAAACATTTGCCTTGAAAACTAGCTGAAATACAAATTTTTTCTCTTTTTTTTCCCCAGAAATGTAAGTTATTGTAAATTGTATTTCAAGTAACAAGTGTTTTTCTATGGTTTTAGTTTTTGTTAATAATAAACGCACTCACTATTTATATAACCTTTTTTTCATTCATCTGAGAAATGTGATAGATTTCCAGAAATCTTACTATTCAAAACTGTAAACTGTAATAAAATGTTGAAAACATTTGGTAACAAATTAATGTCTTAAAATTTTTCATTGTTATCTTCATTAGACCAAATGGCAGGACAACCGGATGTCCACCAAGCAAGTGACCATCACTGTGACTCAAAGCATCCGGCAGGTGGACAAGAGCGGAAAGATCAAGGAAACTTCACAAATCACCTATGAGGTCATGAAACCGGTGGACCGTTTGATGGACGCAGCAGTTGACTCAATGACTTCACCCAAGACCTCATAAAGACTGTATCTTGGATTTCTGGAAAGCTTTGGTGAAGATGTCATGGACCAAAGAAGTAAAAAGCAGGGATGACCTAAATGAAGAAGTTCATCAGTGCTGTGATTAACGGGTTAATAATATCTATTTTTATGTACATCTTTTCCCTGTAATGTCTTTGTCAAAATGTTTTTTTGTTTTGTTTTGATGCCTACGAAAAGAATCTTAGTAAAAGCATCTACTGTACATACACTGAAAGCACAGGATAGATCAGGAAGGGCAATCAATCGACAGATGAGCACTTAACGACTGGCTGATTGATTTTATGAAAAGTGTAAAAATTATACTTAAATAGTTTAAAACATGCCAACAACACATGTTTGTCCCAGAAAAAAAGGTGACTTGAAGTTGAAGCTTTAATTTTGATTTTGGATTCGAAAATCAGGGCTCTTACTACCACCACACTATTGTTGCCTTCAGCTTTTTGGGGTATAAGCGCAAACATTTGTTCAAAACCTAATTACAGTTTCTGTAGCAAGCTAGCACTACTGCGAAAGGTAGTGTGCAACAATATAAAGCAGCTCTGTTTTGTTATTCCAGTATTGTTTGATATATCACTGCTTTATTCACTGGAAGATGATATTTATTGTTGAGTTATTAAATATCTATTGGAAGCACAACTATTACTGTATCCTAATCTTTCTCTTGCTTCACTCTCTGAATTAACATTTTACAATAAGGTTCTGTATATGAACATTAATTCGTTAGGTATTATGAAGTAACAATGAACAATACATTTACAGTATTATTAATATAGGTTAATGTTAATTTCTATATGTACTAATGTGTGTTGTTTTTTTATATTTTATGATTAATTTGTAAATAACATTAGGTGTATGCATAGTTTATTAGAATTTAAATCTATTTCATTTAAAGTAATATTTTCAAATTCCTTAAAATCGGCATTAAACAGGTTGATTTTTATTGACCTCTACTACAAATCTAGTACAAATATTAATTTATACATACAAATGAATATAATCGTGTTGGCTGAGCTGTGGTAAAGATATTTTGTGGTCACAAAAGAGTAACATGGCAATGCAGAGAAAACATCAAATGCTGAAACATCTGGTGAAAGTCACATTCATGTACTGTAGCACTGTAAAAGCACCATCAGACCAGTGATCATCATGTGTCCTGGAGAGTATGAATTTGTCTCTCCTCATTATATTCAGCAAGTCCCAATCTAAAACATGGCTCTTTCCTCAACATCCACTCATCTGCATTGAATTCTGGAAAGAAAAATGAAATCTCTCTCTTGGCAGATTCAACTGAATCTGAAAGAAAGAAAATTAGAAAATGCTGAAACTTTAAAATAGACGTTTTTTTTTTTTTTCCCATTTAAAATAGTTAAGAAATTAGTCTTTATTTTATAAAATCAGTGTTATGGTCTAGGATTTATTTAGAGTTTAAAAACAAACACTCATTAGGCATTTTCTAGAGAGGTTATTAACCGTTTTGATATTTAGCTGATCTAGTCTATTTAGCTAGTTAAAGGAACAGTTGACCCAAATATGAACATTTGCTGAAAGAGTACTCATCCTCAGGCCATCCAAGATGTAGATGAGTTTGTTTCTTCATCAGAACAGATTTGGATAAACGTAGCATGACATCACTTGCTCACCAATGGATCCTCTGCAGTGAATGGGTGCCGTCAGAATGAGAGTCCAAACAGCTGATAAAAACATCACAAGTAATCAACACAAGTACATCAATTAACATCTCAAGAAGTGAGAAGCTGCATGTTTGTAAGAAACAAATCTATCATTAAGATGTTTTGAACTTTAAACCGTTGCTTCCGTACTGGAGGAAGTGTTATTATGGTTAGAGAACTTGCATTTTGCCCAGAAGCAAGTGTTTAAAGTTAAAACGCCTTAATGATGGATTTGTTTTTTTACAAACATGTAGCTTTTTACTTCACAAGATGTTAATTGATGAACTGGAGTCATGTGGAGTGCTTGTGGATTACTGTGATGTTTTTATCAGCTGTTTGGACTCTCATTCTGACGGCACCCATTCACTGCAGAGGATCTATTGGTGAGCAAGTGAACTAATGCTCAATTTCTCCAAATCTGTTGTGAAGAAGAAACAAACTGATCTACATCTTGGCTGGCCTGAGGATGAGTACAGTTTTAGCAAATTTTCATTTTAGGCTAAACTATTTCTTTAACTGTTCGGTTTTGAAAAGTGTTACTCCACCTGAACCATGAGTAGTGTTTCTGGTGTCAGTCAGCCCATATTGGCCACGCAGGGTGTCTGATGAAGTGAAGCGAGCTCTAAACACTTTTGTTGGACCCATCATCCCCCTCCAGTGAGTGATAGCATCTTCCCTGGCTAGGATGTACGCTCTCATTGGGCCACTGTTGTGGGAATACAAGTAAACAGCAGGATTACACAGGGAGCTGTGACAACCTCGTGTTCACTTAGATCAGGGGTGTCCAAACTCGGTCCTGGAGGGCCGGTGTCCTGAAGAGTTTAGCTCCAACCCCAGTTAAACACACCTGAACCAGCTAATCAAGCTCTTACTAGGCATACTAGAAACCTAAAGGCAGGTGTGTTGAGGCAAGTTGGAGCTAAACTCTGCAGGACACTGGCCCTCCAGGACCGAATTTGGGCATGCCTGACTTAGATGGATAAACCGAATTGAATCCAAAAGAAAAATTTGATTTTTTTTGCAATTTATGACGTTAATAGTACAAACAAGCCTAGTCACAAAAGATGAGCAGTACTGCCTTAGTGGCACTGCTGGAACACAAACGGAAATAAAAGCTTAGGAATAATCAGCTGCTTATTTTTAAATGACTCTGACGTAGGCTAAAAGACACAGGTCAGTTCGAGAGCTGTGCTAATGTTTTATCTTTCACACACAAAGACATGTTCTGGGGACAGGGTGCCATGGTAACATCGGCCTCACTGTCTAAACTGGATCAACCGCTACATTAACAACCAGCATTGATGTCCCTCTCCACAGATGAGAGACCATATATCTGCATTAATTATTCCTTTCGAGAGGAAGTGCAGTGGTACAGCATCTGTAGTTTCACATTAATTTAAAATACACTACCAATAAAAGTTTTGGGTCAGTAACATTTTTTAATGTTTTTGAAAGAAGTCTTGCTCACCAAAGCTGCATTTGATTAAAAAAAATACAATAATATTGTAAAATATTATTACAGTTTAAAACAACTGTTTTCTCTTTTCATAATTTTAAATTTGAATTTATTTCTGCGATGGTACAGCTGAATTTTCAGCAGCCCATTACTCTTCAGTGTCACATGATCAGACCTTAATCTTACTGACCCCAACGTTTTGAATGCTATTAATATTAAAGTAGAACAAAAAGCTAAATAAAGTGCATCCATTCTTTTCCATTCTTTCTGAATGCAGTGATTTAACTGGTTTTACCAGGAACGTTATCAGGAAATAGCTGAAATGTTAACAATGTACACACATAATGAATTCTCAACGTCTGAAGCCACGTGCAACTGAACAGATGAAACAGGATTGAATAGAAACAGTCACTATTCACACAAAACTATGACCCATAAACAACTGAAGATCTGAACCAACCAAATCATGCAAGAATGTTGTAGTAGCAGGGTTATTATAGAACCTAAACCTAAAAGCATAAAAAACATTTTGTTACCTGAAATAAAATTTTTGGTTGAAATAAAATAGGCATTAACTGAAATAAACATACATATATTATATATTATTATATATATATAAACAGTCGTGGTCAGAATTATTGGCACCCTTGGTAAATATGATCAAAGAAGGCTGTGAAAATAAATCT